TTTTTCATTTACAGTAGCGGTCATAAGTATCTGACCGCCTCTAACTCTAGCTACAAGTAAGTAAATTCAAAATTTTTTTTTTTATTTAAAAAATACATAACTAACTAACTAAAATTAATAGATTGTGGTGTAACCATCTGACTCTATAAGTGCAGCTATACGCCTTTTCATGCTAGCTACCAAATTTGCAGTAAGTACAGGTGATAATCAGTTTCATTCTTTTGTAAGTTCCCCTTTTAACCCTCTAATTGATTGAATTTTTTTTGTATATTAATTTTCATTAACCTCCAAACGTTTTCTATAGAGTTTTGGTCTAGAGACATTGATGGCCAAGAAAGTACCTCAATGCCATTTTCTTTCTTCCATTTTTTCACGATTTTCTATCGATGCTTTGGATCATTATCTTCTTGCAAGATCTAATCTATGTTACCTTTACCAAAAAGTTTAGAGGTGGAAGCTAGAAGACTCTGCTCATAAATAGTACACATAAATTCAGCATTAAGGTTCCTCTGAAAGCAAAATAGCTTACTAAATCTAGAAGCAGAAAAACATCCCAAACATGAACTTTTGGTTGATGCTTAACAGAACGAAACACTTTTTTCTATCAGAAAACTGCCAAACCTTTTTTTTTATATATATAATTGAAATGTATTCTCATTTGTAAAAACAACTCGATTCCTATCAAAATTTTTATGTTTTTTTGCCCATTGCAACCTTTTCTTTCGATGGTCTTCTTTAAGCAAAGATTTAGAAGTTTCATTACTAAACATTACTTCAGACTTACGAAGATGTCGCCTTACTGTTTCTACACTAAGCCCAACACTCTTTCTTCCATTTTTTCTTGTATTTGAATGGCTGTTATATTATGTTCTTTCTCTGCCATCTTTACAATCTTGTCATCTTATTTCACGGATATTACACAAGGCCGCTCCAGTCTTTCTTAAGTACTTAGGTCCCAATTTTTATGATATCTTTTAACTCAATAAATAGCTGTAGACTTACTACAATGTACCTGTTTAGCAATAAATCTAAAACTAAACTTTGGACCAGCTGAGTGCTCACATAAAAAGACAATTTCATATCGTTTCTCTAAAGAAAGTTCTATTTTTCAAGCGGAAGTTTGATGATCATCTAAATTTTTTTTTTGTATCATTGATACTTATAAATTTACAGGTGATCATGTATTGTGTTACATTATATTTCTGGAAAATTTAAGGGATAGTTATATAATAATTTTAAATGATCTCAGATGGTCAGATACTTATGACTGTTACTGTAAATCTCCAATATGAAATTTTTATTTTACTACTTCCTTATATTGGTAATAGGATTTCTTAGGAAAAAAATCTTTTGTTTATTTAATCAGAAAGATCTCATTTGATTTATTTGGTTTCTTTAGCATTTATATATTGATTAAAACAATATACTTATTCTTGTAAGTCAGCTTCTTCTTTATATTCTTTATCATTGTCTTCACTATCATCAATAATGTATTTCATTTTAATCTCATCAGCTTTTTCATTGTTAGACTTTTTGTTGAGACATTTGATGACATTTTACTAGTACAATAATATTCCGTTTGTTCTAGTATAATAATAAGATCCTTTTCTATAATTTATTATGACCTGGGCTTCTTTTAACTAATTATTTCTAACAATAGCAGTATAAGAATCAGCTTCAGTTACAACTACTAGTCAATAGTTCAAATTGGCTAAAAATCAGATAGCCAATTTTAGGTTAATTTTAATATTATTTATAACTGATTTACCATATTTTCTGATTAGCACAAATAGGTACTAATAGACACTGATTAACCCCAATCAGACATGGTCATTCAGCATCAATTCAGAACTTAAATTTAATCATAAATCAACTCAAAATTGGCCTCAATTTGGCAACAATTCAGACACTGATAAATGCTGATCAGATATAGCCATTCAGCATCAATTCAAAACTTAAATAACTATAAATCAGTCTTAAATCAACCTTAATTCAGCAATAATTCAGATATCGATAGATGCCAATTAACACCAATTGGATAAGCAATTTAACCATAAATCAGTCTAAAATTAGCTTTAATTCAGTATTAATTTTGTAATAATTCAGATGCTAATCAATGCTAATTAGACAAGTAATTTAACTATAGATTAGCTTAAACTTGACTTCAATTTAGTATAAATTAAGCAATAATTCAGACGCTATTAAATATTAATTGACTCCAATTAGACAAGCAATTTAGCATTAATAATTAATACATTTTTTTATTAAATTTATTAAATATTAAAATTTTATTAATAATAAAAATCTAATATAAATTTGCAAAAATATAGTAAAAAAAATCACTAAAACTTACTGACTAATTTTCTATTAAAATAAAAAAATAAAAAAATAAAATATGATCTATTTCCTCCTAAAATCCTCTTAAATCATTTTAAATATAGTTAAATAAATAATATATAATAAAAATATGATTCATTCTTTTTTAAATCACCTAAAAAATGTAAAAAATAATAAAATTAACCTGTTCTCATCTCAAATTACCTGAAAAATGTAAAGAAATAATAAAATAATAATAAAATCAAACTATTTTTACCCAAATTATCTGGAAAAAAACATAAAAAATAATTAATAAATTGACTTGCTCGTATTTAAATTAGTTTGAAAATTTATCATTCATCATTATTCATTATAGGATTATCTTCACTTTCTTTAACTGTAGATGAAACCCCCTTCTGATTTCAGTATATTCCTCAATTTTAGTTACATATTCTTTTACAATTGTAATACCAACTTTAATCTCAGTATCATAGACCATATCAGATTATGCTTTATATGACCACTTTTGAGTATTGTAGAGATATGACCAGTCATAATATTACATATCATCATTGTATTTTTTCTTTTATTGAATTTAAGATGATAATAATGCAGTAGCATAGGAATTAAGTACTTTTCTCAGTAAATTTTTCAGCTAAAAGAAGAAAATAAGAAAGAATATTAGTAAAATATACTAAATAAATTTGAAATATGCTAAATTAGATAAAAAAAATAATAAACTTTAACCAATCGCTAAAAATAATTATATATAATTATAACAGATCTTTAACGATTTTTTTCATCCATTTTACTGATTTCTGACAAATAATATAGGTGATCACTAAGAATTCAGAATAAAGATCACTTTTCGTATTTTGCAATTTATTAGTTATTTTCATTAAACAAATTCTTTACAGCCTTTACTCGCTGAGTTATTTTCTAATAAATAATAAATGATATTAAATTATTGATTCAAATAGACTTAAATTTGGAATATATTTTATTTATTTACTTCATATATTTGATTATTATTATGAATTCGTTGCAGCTCTGAAAGATCATTTTCGCTTTTCTTAATTCTTTAAGCTGATTGACATGACTTATAGAGGGAGGCCAGAAATTTAGAGCTAAGGACTTTTATAATTCTAAAATCAGATTGTGAAGTAATGTAGCATTTTTCTTGCTATTAAAAGATTTGTTATAATCTAAATCACTTTTTGAGTTAATGGTTTTCAAAACTGCTTTCATTTTGGCTTAAATATGAAAAACAGAAAAAAAATCAGCTAAAAATTTAAATTATTTAAATATAAATTTAAATATACTCTGGCTTCTTTTATTAGATTCTTCCATTATCAAATTATCATAATCATCAAAATTGTTTTGCATCAATTTTAATTCATTATCGATATAATATACTAGCTTTTTTCCCTTTGATTTTGATAAAGATTTTCTAATTTTTCTTTATTTTACAGGAGGATCAGCATTAACTGTCACAATGATCTAAGCAGTTATAATCTCTCAAATTGGTCAAGTCTTAAATATTAAAAAAGAAAAATTAGTTATTATAAATATAGAATATTAGTATACAAATTTTTACCTTTCCTATAAATTTTCATTTTCTTGCTGAATTTCCTTATTTATTTCAGCAAAAAATCAGTTTTCTCTCAAGAGATCAGAATTTTATTTCTCTAATTCTTGATTTTCTTAGTAAATTCAACAAGTTTTTCTTTTCATTTGATTCTTTATATAGGAATAATGAAAATATATTGTTAATTATAAAATAATGAATGGAAATAAATCAAAAATAATATACCTGATTCTAAATTATTTAAATCATCAAGAATCTTGAATTTAGTCGCAGCTAAAGTATTTGCTGTTGATTATTATTAAAATTTTAATGAAAGCTAAATTTCCTCATATGGTCTTTGCATTTCTTCTAAATCTACGTCTATAATTTGAAAAGTTATTTAGTATTAATATAAAAATAGTATATAATAACTAACTTATGATCTAAAATAATTAGCTCATCCTTAGACAATATTATATAGATGTGTTTTTATTTTTTTTCTATTATAGAAAAGCAAAAAATCAGTTATCATTTGAAAAATTGATTAGTTTATTAATAAAATTCAACTTATGTTCTAGCTTATCATCATCCAATTTTTTTCATTAGGGGCATTTATTAGTATTATTTACGATTGAGATTCTATTATAGAAATTAAAAAATCAGTTATTATTTGAAAAATTGGCTAGTTGATTGATAAAATTCAACTTATATTCTGGCTCTTTATCACATCAGGATATTTGAAATAGGTATTTAATGTGTCAACATACACATGGTATTAATCAATGCCTAAAAGTATTACGCAACAAACCCTTTATCAATCAACACTATTTAAAAACATGTAAAATAACATAATTTAAGCATAGAATAATATATATAGTAAAACAATGTTATTTAAAAATGCGTATAATAATGCTAATTTTAGTTTAGAAATATGATTATCAATATAAATTTATTAATAAAAATATGCTAAAATACACTAAAATACAATTATAATACATTTCTACACCTGACTGCAATAAACAAATGATCATGATTATTCATCCAAAAAAATGGATTTATATAAAAAAAAGAAAAAAAAATGAAAAAAAAGTACTACATAGTACTATGATGCATAATCTCAGTTATCACTACCGAAACTATCATTATCATCATAATGGTCGTCATTATCGTCATTATCGTCATTATCATAGTAATCGTCATCATATGGATTACTATGTGTCAGTGCTTCACTATTAGACGAATAATCATAATTTTCGAAAAAAAGGTAATACAAGATATTTCATCTTAGTATCTTAAATAAAATAGAATATTTGTAATTTAAGTATGAATATATACAAATGATTTTTTAAAATGCAGTATATATAAAATTAAAGAATTTCTTTATATACAATGTTTTTTGTGTATTGTTACATTTTATTGATAATATGTAAATTCTTAATAAATCTATATTATTTTGAATTAGCAGATTATTGGATTTAATCACTATAATCGATTATGTATAACGTTGCCAGTAAAATAACATTACGAATTAAATGATGATTTACTATATCTCATAACTTGATTTTACTGGTAACGATCTCATATAGCATCGTTATATTTTATAGAAAAAAAACTTCTTGATATTTTACATTGAAAGTTACTTAGTTGTAGTAACAGGCATTATTTTCAGAAAAACGCATTTCAGAGTATCGGATCATTATTTATAATATTTGAAATTTCATATTATTAGATGATCAACGCATGCAGTTAATTTTTCGTTCAAACTAAAATTATTCAACCCGGCCAACTAAGGGTAATAATATTGATGTCAATCAGCAATAATATTAGAACCCCATTAGCTTTTATCTAAATAGTAAATATTATATTACGATATTCGTTATAAAAACAAACTTCTTATTGTAATTTTTGATGCTTCAATCAATGATAGATTGCATTCGATTAAAGAAATCGATCACACGTGATCAATTAAATAATTCGATTTTTAATCGATCATGCGAATGAGAGACCGACCAATCATTCAAGTAACCAATTTTTTGTATGTTGATAATCCTGTGCTAATGTCAATATATGTAGTATGCTATTTAGTCAAGGCACCACCATTTATTTAGTACTAATCCTTCATGATTCTCTAAAAAAGAAAAAACAAACAAATTAGAACATCAGAATTGACAAAAAAAAACTGATTATCAATTTAATTCAATAAAAATCAAAAATCCAAGAATAGTTTATTTTTCATTTCCAAATTTATTTTAAACAAAAATTTAATTACAATTTTTTACTGCGGAAATGATGGAATGCTTGTATGAAAATCCAAATTTGATAATGCTAAAATTTCTTTGTAAAGTTGCAGTAGAGGTTGAAGTCATTTTAGACTGTGGAGCTTTAGGCGTCATTTATTTTTTTTTTTATTATTTTTGTTATTTTTCATACTCAAGTTAATTTAATAAGACATTAATCATACAAACAAAAAAGCTTTCATAGAAGGAATAAATTCCTTCATATTTTTGGACCATGGATTTAAGCAATCATAATACTTTTTTATTGTTCATTTAATATATATAAGAATTCGCATGACCAAGAGTCAAGTCTTATACGTTTTCTAATAATTTTAAAAATTGAGCATTTGAATTAAATAAATTCCTTCCCATTTCTAAAAACGAAAGATGTACATTTCCAATCTTTGCCTTTTTTTCGATAAGCCATTGTTGTACATAATTTTTATCACAGTCATTGGGAATGCATAAGAGCTCAGTTTGGCAGTCAGGGATGCTTTTCATGTAAAACTGACAGGCAGCGACGATGGCTGGTACTTTATTTCTACACTTGTAATAGTGCAACTTTGTAATGCTAGCATCGCTGTTGCGAGCGAGGATACTAAGTTCGTTTTGAAGAATGCTGAAGAATCCGGAAATTTCAGCTAAAGATTGAGCAAAGTTGAGAAGTGAAGTATGTAGGACATCTCGAATAATGTGCGTGGCGGCTACAGCCAACTTTGATTCTTCTTCA